GCGCTCCCCGCGCCGCTCCCGGGGTCCCGAGAGCTCGCAGGCCGCGCAGCCCGGCCGCCCTCCTCCTCCTAGATCCCCGGGATCTTTCCGATCCTGCAGCCCGAGGGAGAGGGGGGCATGCCCGGGGCCGTGCGCGAGGGGGAGGGAATGGCGAGGCAGCGGCGGCGGCGCCCTGGACAAGGGGGATGCTGCCCGGCCTGCTGCATCCCTGTCCTCCGGCCTCACCCGCCTCGCCCGGCCCGGTCCGGGATGCGAGCTCTTCGGGTGCAGCTCGGAATTGGATTCCTGAACCGTGCTGGCGGGCGGTTGCCGTGCAGCCTGCAGATTTGGGGGTGGATGCTGGGAAATCCCCTGTGGCGCGGTGAGAGTTAACTGTGCAGCCCACAGCCGCGCCGTAAACAAATCGGTTCAAATATCTGGAGTCAGTAAGTTAAGTGAAATAAAGAGAAGCAGAGGAAAGGAAACCCGTTCCAAACGACCTGTACTCGGCTGCAGTCTGGCTGGGTTGGGGGAGGTCCCACCGGTCCCCACTGGTGTCTCCCCCCACCCCGGGTGGCTCCTGCAAACTTCCCTGGAGAGTGGCAGATTGTCAGCTGGGAGGATCACTGAGTATCAGAGTGGCTCCTAAAAATTAAAGTCCTTGTCACTATCGCTTCCCTGGTTTTAAAGAATGTTTTCCACCCTCGCTCCCAGGTACAGACAGGCTGAGAGTCTGGAGATCCGGCCATACCTCTGTTTCTCCACTGCTAGCCTGAAACCGGGAACGCCTCCTGGGTCCCTGGATTCGGCCAGTCCTTGGCCACAGTTCAGGGAGCCTGGCTCAAGAGTCCCCAGAATTCCTGGAGAGAGCAGAGTGGATCAATGCAGTATACCTACGCTTGCGCCAAACCCCACATACCCTGCCCTAGGGAGCCCTTTCATTGCTTCTATCCTTTGTTCCTTTTCTGGACAAGAAGCATCGCTGTCTGGGGCCGCCAGGAATGTAGTAGACTCTTGGGGGGAAGTCCTGGGGTCCTTCCAGGGTCAGACCTAAGGACCCCCGCCTCTCCCCACCTCACCCATCTCAGAAAGAGGATTAACACACTAAGTTCTGGACACAGGTAGCAGATCAAAAGGCCAGTGATAATTCTTTCCTATTTGAGGTGAGGTTGCAAACTGCTTGGTCCCACCCCCTCCCCAGCTCCGAAGTGGTGTTTGCTTTATTAATGGGCAAAGTGTATAATGCCAAATTAAGGCAGAGTCTGCATCGTCAAACTCTGAGAACAGGGAATTGTTATTTTGCAAGCTGATAACTTCCCACCCTTGAAAACCTCCCTCATTAGTTAGAAGTAGTAACAAGGCTACAAAAGAACAAAGAGGGTAAGAATATAGGGAAAAGTACAGGTGTGAAGGGTTGGCTCCCCAAATCCCAGTCTGCAGAGAGGGGAAAAATAGTATGTCCTTCATGCAGTATCTCCTTAGCATAAGCCTTGTTGGAAATGTTTGCTCTGGCAAAGTGAGATCTAGACATCACATGGAGACAGCATTCCCAGGAACAAAGGCTGGGGGGTGGAGGGTAGAAGGGGGAGCCTGAGGAACAGCCCCTGTCTAAGAACTGCACGTCCTGAGGCTGAACCAGACATACATCTTGTTCCTTGGCTCCTGGCTACAGCTGGGAAGCTTCTCCAGAAGGGACCTCCTGGCCCTCACCAGGATCTGGCTTCCCTTCCCTTCCCACCACATCTGTTTATACAAAGGAAGGCCCCGAAGAACAAACAGAACCTTGTTTACTGCGCGTCCCATGCCGGCTTTGAGCTCAAGATACGGATTTGTCCTCACCATGGAGGCTGAAGATAAATAGTTCCAGAAAAGGAAAGAGAGAAAGAGGGGTTTAGGGTTGGCTATGGAGCTTATTCATAAAAGTTCCCACCAAGAAAGCTCCAGAGCAATGGGTAGATTTATATCTGAATTTAAACTCTGAGGCCTCATGTTAATACATGAATGTACAGAGTCTAAAGCGATTTCACTGTGGGAATTTTAAAATGTTTCTTCAGACAGAGTGTTGTTTTCTGTGTGGAGCCTTTAACAAGGGGAGAGTTGCATTCATATTTTTATTTCCAGTGTATGTTTTTCTGAATAGTGTCCACTTGGAGAATGGGGGCTTTTGAAGAAACCCAAGTAGTAGTTGTAGATATGGTATTTTTAAGCTGTGGTGGAAATAAATCTAAATTAATAGTTTATACAAGTAAAATGGGGAACAGCTCATGAAAGCCTTTGTAGGGAGAACTTTTTATTTTTATTTATCTGGTTTTTGAAGATGTTCCCATTATCCTCCTGCTTCTAGGTACATGAACAAAAAGCAAGCCCTTAATCTAGTTATCAACTTTAAATCCTAATGTAAAGAAAAGGGGAGGGGGTGACTGAAATTTCTAGGATCAGAATGCCTGGACTTAAAGGGAAGTTTGGGAGGGGAGTAAAGAGACAGCTTAAATTAAAAATAAAAATTAAAAATGGCATTTCCTATGAAGCTGCTGTGGTTTTTGTGCATCCTACTGACCTCATGATCCAAGGGGCTTTTCTCCCCAGGAAGATGCAAGCATCTTTTGAGCTGAGTCAAATCTCCCAGCTCCAACAAGGCCACTGAGTGAGAGGAGCACTTGCCTTCCTCATAGGCTGCTTTGCATGTTTAGGCAAACTGAATGAAATAAGAGCACTAGGTAATGAATCCTGCTTGATCTGGGCCACAGGCATGCAGATGGTGAGGACCTCATTCCTTGCCAACCTGGAGCTATAAGGCTCCTTGATAAACCCTAAGCAAGCAGTGGCATCTCACTAGGATCTCCCTGAGATATGACTGTGAGAAGCCTGGCATGGCTTTATTAATCTATGCCTTATGCTAAAGACATATCAGCCGCTACTCAGAGGTCCCTTTTGTGACCAGGTAGGATTTTCCCCCTTTATGATCCCACCATTTCTCTAGGGGAAAAAAAGCCAGCTCTGCAGGAGGCCTTGCTAGGGGATGACAGGAGAATCGACAAGGTTCCCCCAGCCCTAGCTGCATCTCTTCCAGCACTGTCTGTCAGGACACAGTTCTCTCCTGTTCCAACAGAGCTGCAGAGCCATCGGCCTGTCTGCTTCTCCTTCCAGAGACTTCTTAGGTATTTGTAACTGTATCTAGGGATTGCAGGATAAAGCCTCTAGGCTTTCTGCTTGCAAATTACATGTTAATATGTCAAGCCCCAGGACAGCATGGATTTTCAGTCCACCCAGGAGCTCGAGTGTACTCCAGCTCTTCCCTCTCTCCACAGGTATCTCAGAGTGGTTTCTAGCCTGGGATCTGAGAAGCCTTTCTATTTTGTTCATCATTCACCAGGTCCTGAGCAGATGGTGTGGCTGTGCTGGCTGTCATCACTCCTCCTACGTTTCCATGGAAACATGGGGCATAGGGACCATCTCTGCCTTGGGCTCTCTGACAGTCTCCTCTGGCTGAGAACTTCAGCACTCTGGAGCCTCTTCTTTGCTTGCCTGCTGTCCTAGAGCACTGGAGTACATTCTGGGGCCCAAGGAGCTAGGGTCACTGGAGAGATCCTCCCTGTTAATGGCTGGAAACTGGCTGGAAAAGAGAGGGAAGAAAGAAAAGAGACCAATATCCTTGTTGGGTAGCTGAAGCCAATTTGGGATGGCAGCATATTAGGACAATCTGTCCCCTCAGCCAGCTTCCATGATGACTGATTATTGTCCAGATGTCAGCATAGATGCTCCCTAGTATTCACCCACTTATCAGACAACAGATATTTATTGACTGTGAACGCATTATTGAGGTTATACTTTACTAACATTCTATCCCTGAGTATGTGCATTCCTTTATTTTCTTTAACAAAACCAGGTTTCCCCTAAGGAATGCACTTTCCTCAAAGTTTCCAACATCCTCCTGCCTACATAACTCATTTATATAGCCACTAAGACATTAATTAGATTCAGAAGTCTGTGGAAACAGCAGAGCTAGGCGGGGTCAGAGGGCAAGCTGGGCAGAGAAAAGAGAGGGGAAAATGACCCCTGGGAGAGGGTGAAGAAGTAGAGGGGAAATTTTCATACCCCTCAAATACCAAGCAAGACAAAGATAATTTCAAAATGTGGTCAGCTACCATAACATTATTTAGAAAATTAAAATATGGCCAAATTAGGGAGTCCTTTAGGAAAAAAGTTGACTGGTCCAAAGAATCCTGTGGCTTTCTATCTTTGGTGTTATTGTTTCTTATAGAGCTGGTACAAGAGACAGGTATATGCAGCTTACCTCATTTTTGAAAAGAGAAAACAAAGTAGGCACTCATACTCAAGATAATATACAGATAGGAATACAGAGCATTCATAAAAGCAGACCAGAAAAGCATGTCCTGTCCCAGATCATGTATTTTGTGTCATGCTGACTGATTTGGGGGATAATCCCCCTATTTTGGGATATGAGAAAATCCCTTGCTGCTGGTAACAAGAACCAGCCACCCTGACTTAAAACTTAATATTCCCACTGGCTCTTTGTCACACTTCTTCAGGATGTGCACTGGCCAGCTATGCAAGATTCAAGGATTCTGAACCTGCTGAGGAAGATGAGATAACTAACAATAACAAAAGCAAAACATTCCTGTACTTCTTTCTACTGGGTCCTGCTCTGAGTATCAACTCCATCTAGTCCTCCCAAAAGCACATAAGGTATGTTGCCATGGTTTTCTTTTGCAGATAATTGTCACTAACCAAAGCATGGCAGATCGGAG